CCCTAATCCCTAATCCCAAAAAAGAGTCCAGGAAGCGCTTTTGTTGACTCAATATTCGCAGGGTATCCACCATGGGTGGATGAATGGTTGCAAGAACTTTTGAACCGCGATTGGAGAGCGTTCAAGGTAGGCTTACTTCGAGAACCAAGTGACGCCGAGTGCCCGGTCTTACTGATTTCTAGATTCTGCAATTCAGCATCTACTGCCCGCGTACCCAATCGGGCCCTGAAGAGGATCTTGTCTGCCAGAAGGGTGAAAGACTCTGGTACTTTTATGGCTCGATCAAAATCGAAGAAAAAGTTGCGCCGCATATCAGTAACCGATGCGGAGCTGTGGCCGTGGCAGGTGAGTGCCTCCCATTCTGATCCGATTAATCGTGGGGTAAAGGGAGATTGGCTGCTGCCAGCTGCTGACAACCTTTTACGTAGTATGTGCGAGTCCAGTGTTGCGCGAGGCTGTGAAGAAAACCGTCCACCCGCACGCCGGAAAAAAATCTCCAGCTGATGATTTTTGACCCCAACACCTGCCCCGCACGGACCAGAGACGAAAAGTTGCCCGATAGCGACCAGCCTACAGTTGGGGACCACCGCCAGCCACCACCAGGAACTCCGGGCGAGAGTGAAGAAACACACCAGCTACGACAATATCCCACAGACAGCAAGAAGCCACCGCACTCGTTATCCAGGAAAGTTGATATGCAAACCGAAAGTGTTCAATTGAGCAACCACTCGAAGTGGGTCCAAAGTAGAATAGCGCAGGCCCGCAGAAAACCCACCATCACAATCACCGAGTTGTGAACTTCTGGTAACCTTATCTAGTGTACATACATCACTCGAATCCGCGGCTTTCAGAGGGCTATCGTCAGATAAATTTATGAGATTCATGTATCTAGTTCTATGAAGGATGCAAGTTATTTCTTTGCCGCTTGTTAGCAATTAGGCTAATACTTATCATTATAGTCCCAGTCTTTAATTGCTAGAAGAAAAGTTCTTTCGCTCAATGACTATTTAATAGAGAAGCTGGATACGAATATTTGCAGTTTCTCGGCAATAAATTATACTAAATCCTGATAGAATATGATAGAAGAGGAAGAAGAGAAATTGCGCAAAAACTACATTACTATACGTACGTTAAGCTGATGCCTAAAATGTACAAATTACTCGGAACCTCTCGGGCCGAATAGTGGGGATGACCTCATCAACTAATTCGACCTTAGGAGGTCAAGTGTTTACACCTACACTTCCAAAGAGTTATATAACATATTAATATGAGCCTCTCTAATCGATATCTTTATCGTTACTTCTCAGAAGAAAGTGCTGGTGGCTTGATATACGGCCTGAGATACATTGGTCCTCGATTATCCAAATCCGAACTCTTTCTACATTTCGAGCTTTATAAAGTCTAGAAAAATAGATATTCAATTACTCTAGTCTTTATCAGTGACCGTCTTATCAAAGCTCTCTATCGTGCTTTTGTCAAGTACTATAACGATGGAGAAGACTCAAGTACCATATGGATTACTATTATATTAGTTCCAGTCATTACAGCTATCGAGAAACCCTATCACCATACCCAACAGCTTGCTGATAGGACTATCCAGTTCAAGCATGAATACTTGTTTAAATGGTAGATTCTAGAATAATTTATGGTACATATCGTCTTAGTCTAGACATTTCTTAGCTGAGGGCTCAATCTAAAAGAGCATCTTGATTATGGTAACGACAAAAGCTTTTTATCTAATTTTTCGATATTCATGATTAAGATGGCTGAAGGAATATTGAATTCTTTGGTTGATTGTTATGGTTTTGGTATGTATTTAGTATATATAGTATAATGTTTCAGTATCAAGGTGCCAGTGCTAGAAATTGTCTTACAGATTTTGAGTGATTGCTTCTAATATTTTAGTATTATTACTAAAGATGGCTTCAAGAAATGGCAATCTTATATTAAGTATTTCTATTGGATATTAGATGGTATTGACAAGGGTATATTCGATTTTTAGCTTGTAGATAGTATCTTTATTCTCGATTATTAGAATTTTGTGGAATGATTTAAGTCTGTGAGAAATGAATTGGAAAGGATATAGATAGATTATAGTATGGACTTCTACTATGATATACGTATAGGGGAAAAATCAGATTATATTAGTAAAAAAAGGTAAAGATTAATAAAATATGAGAAGAATATTAAGATAGAGATTAAGGAGGAAGCTATAGCTGTAGGCTTTTGATATGTTATTTATGTTTGAATATGATATTATCTTCTATATTAAAACGAATGTCCTTTTATCAATAATTTTATAGTAGTAGTAGTATTAGAAGTAGTGGTAGGATTTATTTTATATCCTAAGATATATGCAATGTTGAGATCTACTAGAAAGAAAAATAACTATGCAGTAGATTATATGTTAAAATTATAAATAGGCTGAATTGTAACTAGTAATGTCTGGTCTTAAAAAATGTCGCTTTTTGGCCACTATAGTCTCTATCAATACCAGCTTGTAATAAACTATAGAAGTTGATATTAATCCATCTGAATTATACGCTGGTCCTTTGTAACGCAATATTTTATTGCTGTAGTATTCATGGGTTAGAATTTTGATATTTAGAAGCCAATTTGCTGTATATATATTATTTATTAGGTAGGGTAGCTTAGGTCTTTTTGATTATAAATTAGACACTTGAATAATATGATATCTAAATATTAATGGTATTTTATAATTAGTTAAATGAAAAAAGTTAGGGGTTTAGCTTATAGACTAGGATCTATAGAGTATGCGAAAAATAATTCTGATAAGATAATCCAAGATTATTAGCCTCTTTGTATAGCTCTACTAGTTTTTTTTATACTATAGATTTATCCCTATTACTAAAGAACTAAGATATGTTTACTTCTTTATTTTATTAGATTGCTATTAAGTATATATGTTATTGGGGATTTATGTTGAGTATATGATCTATATGATAAAAGGTGTAAAAGGCAACCACTAATCGCACCAATTTTGTGTTAGACAAAGATGACTATATGCAATACTTGTTTGTAATTAGTAGAAAAACAAAGTTATGGGCTAATAAGCAATTTTAAGATATATGATATATCCAGTATCAGAACAAAGTATATATATATGTGTATCTGACCAATCAGATATAGATATAATCAAGTAAGGCAAGCTAATATACAAGAACAACGTATTAATATATATACTAAGTTGATAAAAGGTTAGCCACACGTTAAATTTAACGAGATTATACTTCTATTTTCCTCTATTATGATCACCTTCCTAAAAAAGCTATATTTATAGCTGATTCTCTATTATATCCTAGATACATTGTAATTTACTTTCAACATATATCTTTGTAAGTATATATTAGTACTAATAAAAGGCTAATTAGATATTAAGTAGTCTAGCTTATAACTAGGTTATACCACATTTAGAATGCTCAAGTAAATTTATCTTACCATATCATCTATTCTTATGATATTTATTTTATTAAATATTAGACTTTAAAACGACCTTTAAAAGGATTCAAAAGATCTCTTACTTTAGCCTCGAATCTTTTGTTTTAGTGGAAGCAATAATTATTAATATAAGACATTTGATATCTTATAACTAGATCAAAGTATCAATATCTATTATTGCTGTCCCAGATAGTCCAGCTCAATAGTCTACTCTATCAAGATCCCATTAAATGAAGAAAGATAGTGGTCTTATTTATATTTCTTAGAATACCATTTGTCATCCTAATAGCCCTCTAGAACTATTATTTCACTTTTTTTATATTGAGCAATCTTTATTCGATATAAACTTAATCAATATTATGACCAATCAAAACAATATTTATAAACTTCTATTATTTATTAAGCCGAATTTGAGTAAAAACAGTCTCGATGCATTCACTATCTAAGTGGATATAATTACTTAGACTACAATCTTTTTCTATAACAAGACCGCCACTTATAAAGTTATTAGGCCAGACAAATTTTGGGGCTTTGGACATGAATTCAAAAAAGCATATACAATTACTTAGGTCAAAGACAACACTAGGCACCATCGTATAATCTCATATCGATTGGGTGGGCTAAGTTTCCTCGTATATTATAAGATAGATAGGTTTATTGGAGATTTGAAATCTAGTATAAAAGATAACAAATCTATAGAGGATAATCTTATTAATATCTTGAATTCTTTATCCCTTATATTAGAAACACTTTCCATAGATAAGCCTTCTATTAAATCCAAGTTAACTATTAAAAGAGAAAGTCGGATAATATCACAAGAATTAATCCTAGAGATTAAAACTCAAGTTTTTCACAAATCTCTAGAGCTAATAGAGATTACAACTTAACTTTGGATTTCTTAAATACCCAATCTTGTCCAGGCTTATTATCAATATAGAATATTCTCGACACTAAAAGTAGAAGATATTACTAACACGATAAAAGACTAGAAAAAAACCTACTAAGATATTATCACAAAATTCGTTATACTAATTAAATACATTTTACAAGTGACTAGAAACTGGGGTGGTAGTTCTATTATTAACTATGATCTCTTAAAAGACAAACTCGTGATTAAGAATAATAAGAGAAAGAAGATGCTTCTGGAAGATCTTTTTTCTTAATGGGAAATACCCATCCCCGCCAATATCACCAAGAAAACCTCTATACATGATCTAGAAATTACTTAAAAACAGCCTAATACTCGGAGATCTACTACAACACTTGACTAGGATAAAGTCCTTTTAAATGGTATTAAAGCAGAGCTAGCTAAACTTCAACCTTTTACTATATCCACTCTTATAAACAAACTAGAATTATAGAGCTCTCATTAGAAATAGCGAAATTGATTTACTGTTTTGATTGGACTATATCTTATTAGATTTCTTATTTTGGTGAGGTCTGTTTTCTACTTAGTTAAATTTATGGAAGAGTATAATAGGTATATTATGATATATGATGTTTTTATGTATGTTTTCGACAGAATGTTGATATTGATTGCTATGGTCGATATGATTGTGTATCTCCCCACGGAGTATTTGGGACATGGTAAGGCTGGAACCAGATAGGATAATATATCCATGGATTGCAGTGGGTGTGGTTGCTGTAGTATAGAATGTGGTATAATATTGGGACTTTTACTTGTTAGAAAGTTTCGAATTCAGCTTTTTTTCTATGGTGAGTGGGCTATAGGCACTATCTAAGTGAATTGAATCCTAGATCCCATTATCTGTCAGACTGGCGCGGTTTGTCTGGTGACTCAATGCTTCGAGTATGTGCGGCAAGCAAGGCTGGTAAATATCGTGTAGGTACAGGTTAGTTTGCTACTAATCCTAATACGAATATTGAGGTGTTTAGAACTGACTGAGAAGCAAAACGTGAGTGTTTCGAGGGAAGTACTGCTTTGTGATTTAACTCTTAATACTATTAATCACATGATATATTTGTACTGTAGTAATTTGTCTATCTATACTTACGACAGGTTTGGAACAAGCGGGGTTAGGTAGTAATGTATATAGGGCATATATGAATAAAAGAAGGAATTTATCAACGCATGAAGTAAACGCCAGAAACTTCAAGTAATTCTGGCTTGCTTATATATATAGCTTTCTCGTTTGCTAAATTGAAAAGACTTTTGTTCTTCTTTTGGTGCCCAATTATGGTGAAGAAAAAAGGTAAGATTTTAGTTTTCTCGACTAAGGATCTAGAACCTGACCCCCGCCCCCCCCCCATCCAACAAACAAAACAAGAAGGATCAGGAAACTATCTTTACTCTTATTGCTAGGTGAGAGTTGAATAG